ACCTACCTTTTAGACACATAGAGACAGAGGCGCGCGCACTCTCTAACAGCTACCCACCGCACAAACGCATACGTCCTATACATTATATATATATATATATATATATATATATATATATATATATATATAAAACACAGGCACGCATATATATATAAGAGTTACGTCACTGAAAAATAGATTGTATTTCGCTTAACATAAGTAAAACAGATAAAACGAGTTGCGCCCCTTGATTTCTCCCAAACATATACGACAGCAATTGGTAATCTTATAAGTATTTAAGAACTACCAAACAATGTTTTGAAAAGCTTCACAGCGAAACCCGCAAAGTAAAACAATTATAGTATTTTTTTCTAAAATTTACATGTATCATAAATATTGAATATAAATATATAGAACATCCGTTCTATTTTCAAATCTTATTATCTTCTCTCTATAGACATATTTATAAAGAACTTTCTAATATTTTTAATTTTTCCCTATATATATATATATATATTTTACTTATTATAAAACGCAGATTGTGTGTGTGTTTCTGTAACGTTTATATATTGGATCGGATTTGCTACATTTTTCAGCCGATTTCAACAAAACTTCACAGGACTACATAAAATTACCTTGTGGTGGTTCTAACAGCGCCAAAAATGGGAAAAATATAATTGTTTTTGCACAAAATCAATTTGAAAAACACGATTAAGAGACATCGTGAAAATGGAAGGGGACAACTCACATCGGTTTGTTTGTGTGTGGGGGTTACTTTAAATATGGGAGCGGATTTCCTATATTTTCAGCCGATAAAACAAAACTTCACTTTTTTTTTTGGGCAGGTAGTGTTTCTTATTCTCTTGCACACTTTTTTCTTTTTTTTTTAACATTCAGAATGCTTTAAAAATTCCATTTACAAGACAATTATTTATAATAAAATTCTATTCAATTGGGAGACTCATAACGATTGAAAACAATGTTTTTGTTTGAGTTTGGGTTTGACCAATTCGTAAAAAATAAAAAAAAAAAAAAAAATAATTAAGACATGCGTGTCCGTCAACCTTAAACAATAATCTAACGATCTCTACTGATTGTACGAATACAAACATAAATTCTTTATCTTTAGGGAAAGATAATGAAATCTAAACATACACAAGTCTTAACTAAAAATAATAACCGGAACGGGAAACTACTTTAAATACACAGGGTGTCCAATTTTTTTTACTGTATTCAATAAGTAAAAATCATAAATTGTAAAAGATTATTATTACAGAAATTGTAAAAGATTATTATTACAGAAAGACTACTAAATAAATAAGATTTGTTAGATCATAATTAATAAACCCAAATAAAGTTAATATTTTTTGTATTAGAAACAACGAGTGGAAAATATTCAAATCAGAATTCTAATTAAGAATCACCACAAGCAAAATATACAATTTTTATTACTGTATTCAATAAGTAAAAATCATAAATTGTAAAACTAAAAGATTACAGAAAGGCTACCTACATTTTTCAACCGATTTCAACAAAACTCCATTTTTTTTGGCATGTAGTGTTTCTTATTGTCTTGCACACTTTTTTCTTTATTTTTACATTGTTTATAATAAAATTCTATTCAATCAGTAGACTCATAACGATTGAAAACAATGTTTTTGTTTGGGTTTGACCAATTCGAAAAAAAAAAAAAAAAAACTAATTAAGACATGCGTGTCCGTCAACCTTAAACAATAATCTTTGTCAATTTTATTTTTCAGTCTTTATGATGGTGGATACTTGATCTATCTCTTACTGTTATATAACCGGGCAACGCCGGGCTCTACTGCTAGTTAGTATGATAAATTAAAAAAATAAATAAATGCAAAAATATTTGGTTATCAATGTTAAAGAAAAGTTTTCAAGTTCAGCAAAAAAAAAAAAAAAAAAAAAAAACGTAGAAAAATGATATAAAGTCCTTCTTTTTCTTCCTTTTACTCCGTTTTTAAGAACTTCATATTAACATGGCTGCAAACTGACGCAAAGTGTCAATCATGTTGCTTTAAGACAGACAAGCAAATGTCTGGAACTGATATAATGAATTTGACAGAAGAACAATTTACTAAAAAAAAAGATATCCATGCATATAGGCTGCCGTCTGTTTCGTCCACGATAAACTCTTTTTACCTCTATTGAATGAAACACGAAAAATATTTTCCCAGACATAAATGATAATATGCAGGCAGACACAAATATCTATATACATGTGTGTGTGTGAAATAAAGAGACACATATTATATATTTTCCTTCATTTTTTGCGCATGCTTCTTTCATTTTGCTGATAATATATAATTCATTTTCGTTTCTTTTTAGCATTCTTTTTTCTTTGCTTCTTCCTTTTCGTCCTACGTATGACGATAAACTACATCCGCATCCTGGGTAAGACGATAAACTACGTCCAACAAGAAGGCCTCTGATCAGGAGGTTTTGAGAAGTGTGGAACAGCCTCTTAATTGTTGGTGTTCCCAGGTCCACCCTGACCCAGGGTGGTAGCACTTGTTAGGGTACCAGCTACTGGAAAATAGTTAACCTACAAACTGGGGTCAAGACACTATAAAAGTGTAAAATTTTGTTTTAATACCAGAAATATTTTGTAAAAAATTATTACCAGCAATAAATTTTTGAAGAAAAATTATTACCAACAATACGTTATTACAAGCAATACATTTTTGAAAAATAATACCTTAAAATACATTAAAAAAAATACCAGCAATACATTTTTGAAAAAAAAATACTAGCTATACATTAAAAAAAACTTACCAGCAATACATTTTTGAAAAAAAAATACTAGCTATACATTAAAAAAAACTTACCAGCAAAACATTTTTGAAAAAAAAAAAAAAAAACCAGCTATACATTAAAAAAAAAACTTACCAGCAAAACATTTTTGAAAAAATATATTACCAGAAATAAAAATTTTGTCAGCATTAAAAAAACCCACTGAGGTTGATATGCCGTAAAACAAATGAAACGAAACCAAAACTTTTTCATTTGTCAATTGTTTCTGTTTCGACATTCTTTTTTTTTCTTTTTATATTATCCCTTACCTTAATTCTTCTTTTGTCCTTATGTAAGTATATATACTTCCGTCTAAAATATAATTCTTTTAAGCACATAAATATAAACGGGCAGTATACTAAAATATGGGTATCCACAAAAAATAAGGTTTAAAGTGATAAAATCTGTCATTAATTCTTTAGATATTGATTTGTTTACGTTAAGATACGAAACAAAGTAGAGATGAAATTTTTAGAATCTATGACGAGAAAGACACTATTCGGCCTTGCTTCAGAAACGCATATTTTCTTTAATAAGATTTCTCGAATATTCAGGGAGAGAAAAATAAATAAATATATATTGTCTAATAACTAAACGGAGCGTCTATTCGAATATGAGTATCCTCTAAAAATAACAATGAAAGTGATAAAATATAATTCTATTTTTTATATATATATATATATATATATATATATATATATATATATATATATATAACTTGTATCCCCTTTTTAAGGAATGCACATCCCATCCTTCAGTTTTTTCTCGAAAGCCCATATCTGCTCGATCTTTGCATCAGAAACTAAGCAATTTCCAAAGAATTCATACATTTATTTTTAATAAAACATTTTTATTACTTCAGTATATATATGTTTCATGCTAGGCGCAATCGTCAGGCGGCCTGACATGAAACAGCCTGTCGCCTCTGAGTTTTGACTTCAATTTTCACTTTTATATTTATATACACTCTATCCCTGATATTGAGTACTTTATCCCATGAATATAGCACACCTTCAAACTATCTATCTATAATCATCTACAGACAGACTGTTTTGCTGTATCACAGCTCATCAGTGTGGCTAGACATCCGATTGCCTCGAGCCAGGATCGAAACTCGACTGATTTGGAATCAGCTATGAGCTTTCGGCAAAGAGGAAAGTGAATTTTTACGCATTTATTTTGAATAAAAACACCAGGGACTCAGAGTGCTCGATTCATAGAAGAGCTTTACATTATCAGCAGTAGCAATCACTGTTTACAAATTCGCGCTTTCCTTCTAAAGTGCGCGAACAAGTAAAAAGTGGACATTGAGGTCAACACCTAGCAGCGAAGGTCATATATATGGCCTGAACGTTGCCTGCAAGCATGAAAAAACTGCCGCCGCTAGGTGTTGACCTCAGGGTCCACTGATATTTTATAAATATAGTATACCTTAAAACTATATTTTGTCATTATATATATATATATGTGTGTGTGTGTGTGTGTGTGTGTGTGTGTGTGTGTGTGTGTGCATAAAATAAATCTACTTTCAGTAAATATGCAACAAGCACGCTAAAACCTGCTTAATCTGAATACTCATTGACGTACACTTATATCTAACAACGTAAGATAGAAAACATTTTGAAGTGAATGCTGACTATACGTTCTTAAAAATACAAAAAAATCAATCAAAAGACAAAAGAAAGAAAAAAAGAAAGAAAAAGGAAAGAAAGACAGAAAGAAAGAAAAAGAAACGACATGAAATAAAATAATAAAATGATTAGGAACAAAAAGAAATGAAATTCAACGGAAGGGAGATAACTGTGTAAGCAGAACTGATTACTGGAAACAAAACAAAAACACTTAAATAAACCTCAAAAGAAATTAAAAAGAAAGTAGAAATGTACAATAGAAAAATGGAAACGATAACAGAAACAAAGAACAGAAAACAAGATTTTTTAAAAATTGTTCAATAATTATAAGAACGGGAGTTAGAATGAAAGAAGGACAAATATATAAAAAAGGGAAAGAATATAAAAAAATAAAGGATATAAAAATAAAGAAAGAATGGATGCAAGAAAGAAAGAAAATAAAAAAAAAAAGGAAGGAAAAAAAATAAACGAAAATATATTTTCAAAAATATCAGTGAAATTAAAGAAACACATGCCAAAAATATTAGTTACATATAAAAAAAAATATATATATATATATATATATATATATAT